TAAATGAAACTGATCTTCACTTTTTTCCCATTCTTTAAACTGTGCTGCTTCTTTACTTCTTTGTAATAATGCCATCTCATCTTCCCTTTGTTGCCTTTCCGTTTCTCTTTCCATTCGTCGTTTTTTCACTTTTTCTAATTCTCGTTTGTTTTCTTCCATTTTTTGTCTATTTCTTAATTCTAGTTCTTCATGACTAACACCGACCAAGCCATCTTTGGCCATTTTTTTATCCCATACAAATGTAGAAAGCAGATTTGCATCTCCAAATGGATTGTCAGCATTTGTATAATGTAGGTAATCATTATCCCAACCCATTAGCTCTTTACGTTTTCTTTCTTTAGCTGTTTTTTTCATCAAACGCCTAAACCGCTTTTCCTCTGGTGTTTCCATACCTTTAATTAATTCTTTTTGCTGTTTTCTTTCTTCGGCAACTTTAAGTCTTTCTTGTTGAAGACATTGCAGTAATTTTGTCTCGTCATTTGACCTGTATTTACATAAAAATATATTGTTAACAGGATATTTATACATGTTGTTTATTATATAGCATGATTATTTAATCTGTATTTGATTCAAGTCTGAGCAATATGTAACAATGTAGTGTGTATACCCATATTATAAAGTTATCATAAAACCTTTTTTTAACTGATGGCATTACATAATACTAAGTCACTTAGTCACGCAACTGGCAAAGGCCGTATTAGTTAAAACTTAAATCCATAATATCATGTTATACATATTATTTACATTCAATAATAAAAGCTAATTATATTGTGACTGTTTAAGTATACATAATTACACTAGCATCACCAAGAGGTTTTATAAATATAAATAAAATATACGTTTGATTAAATACATCTTACTTAAAACACAATGACATATTTTATTCATATAATTTAATGAATATTATAATAAATATTTCTTAGAGTTAAATTGTTAAATTGTTTCATTATAAAATTATTAATTTTTAAGAAATTAAGATGCCTTACCTAATCATACATTATTTACTATTTAGTAATATCAATCAACACATTTTACCTTCTTTTACTCTTATGTTTTGATTAAGATTTACCCATCTAGGTAATTGATTTTGTAAAAACAACAGTCAATATTTATATCAGTTTACATCAATTATTATTAAAAAAAGTACCTACTTACTATTTTAGATTCTGAGCAGAGCGAGGAAGCTAGTGGTTTTACAATGGTGTTTTTTTTTTTATATCCTGAATACAAAATTTCTACCAGAAGGAATCCTTCGAGTTCCACATATATATTATATATTATACCGCTTCCCGTAGACGGCCCGAGCGTCGGGAAAGCCAAACGCGCACATCGCAGACATATTTTCCCCGCCGTCCGTGTGAAACACGTCTCGCGACCGTCCGCTGTCCAGACCCAACATGGCGCGTCCGGACAGGGGAAAAAAAAAAAACAAAACGTAATCACTTACTGTTTAGCGGTCATGTTCACTCTTCGTGTGTTCGGTTCTGGTTGCGAGTTTCAATGGACAGCCGCCGAACAGTGCTAACGACGGAGAGGTAACTCGGTGTACGCGGGAAACGTAATGAAATGCAAACGAATGAATCACCGGCGAAATGAACGGTTCGGCAATTGGAAAATAACGAGTAGCTGGCAGCTGCTACACAACTCTATACTCCGGCCCACGAGAGAGTATTACCGTCGCCCGACGAAAACTCGTCCGATTCCGCGCATTCCCCACTACTCGGCATGTGCCGACAACTGTTCGGTACCGGTCGGCAGCGCTCAACGCTATACGGTGTATAGCGGTCGCGGAAATAGTGGGGGAAATGGGGCCTCGGAACGGTCTCCGCCGTCAGTCTGCATGCGCAAAACGGTAATACTCTCTCGTGGGCCGGACCAGTGGCGTATTTTGGGTTTTTTTTGGGGGGGTGTCCTGACTCCTGATCTCCACAGTTATTTAATGACAAATATTAACATAGTTTCATCACTAATTCATACCTGATTATAATACATCTTAATACCTTATATAAGTGGACATTTTTTTTGTAAACAAATTATAGGATTGCTATTTACATTTTTAATTATAATATACAATTATGACAGGAATAAAGTATAAACAATTTTACTGAATAAAATAAAACCAATCTAACACTTAAATTTACTGAGTATTTTTTCGTATGAGTTTAATTTATTTTGTATACTTATATAATATTATAGATATATTAAAAGAAAAAAAAACACTAAAATTTCAAAACTTTAACCTCGCAGTATTAAAGGTAGACGTCTTTTTTTTACAGCCAATTCGTCCAATACTTGCTTACTTTCAATGCGATCCTTCCGATTGATTGATAACATGGCTAATCCATTTAGCCTTTTCTAAATAAAACAATTATTTATTTATTTAATTTTATAATTATGATTTATACTTAGTCAAAAAAAAATAAACTTACTTGGCCCATAGTATTACGTAAATAAGTCTTTATCTTTTTAAGTGATGAACATGATCTTTCGTTCTGTGCAGTTGAAACTGGCAGTGTCGCAAAAATTATTAACAATTTAAATATATTTGGGTATATTTCTGGATTACATACAGACAAAGCTTCCATTGCGTTTCTATAGTTAGAAGTTTCTAAATTTCTCAGTCGTCTTTGCCACAAATTATACTCCGATAATAATACTGTCTTGGAGGACGAAGAAAGATCTTTCATGTATGTTTCAGTTAATGACAAAAAATTGTTTTCATCCGTATTAAGACTTATGAGTGAATTAAAATTAACTAAAATAGCTTTATGGCTGGTAAATCGAACTTTCAATTGCTCAATAAATGTTTCAATATAAGGTATAAATATAGCGATTCTATAATATACTTCTATTGAATCAGTTTCAACATTTACACGGTTTGCTTGTCTTTTCGTAGTTCTAGGAATACTTATAGTAACACCAAATTTATTACCAAGAGAAACAGCATTTTCAAAAATGTCTTGGAAAATAGAATCAGCATTTTTTCGAAAATCTTCAAGTTCTTTTATTGTATCCTCCGCTAATTGGATCGCTTCGCCAAGGTCAATATTAACCCGCTGAAGATGTTTCGATAAAGGAAGACCAACACTAAAGCATTAAGCTACTATAAGCATAGAAATAATAAATCCACCTTCTAATATAGCACTACACAGATTACTGGAATGCGAAGAAGTCTCAACATCTTTCCACTCAGATATAAAGTTTAATGATTCTATCACTTGTTCAAATAACTCTTCAAAATCATTCACTGCATGGTAACGTTCAATCCATCGGGTAGCGCAAAGACGTTTTAATGATTTTTTCAGTTCAGCAAAAAATAATATTGTGTACAACTGTCAACTGACAAGTGACAACTGTACATAGTACACTTTATATCGTTGGTCTTTTGCTATCGTAGATAATAATAATTGTTGTATTTGAAGAAAGATAATAAGGCGATAGCCAATAATACGGCTAGCCGAAACGATAATACAATTCTAAGAATTACATAGTTCACAATATTCTGTTATTTCACCACTGCCTGCACGGCTGCACCTAGAGAGCTATTTATATATATATACACGCAATATATATAATCAATGCTAATACCTATTGACTATTATCTGGTATAAGATGAAAATATAAAATATACATTATTCAATTTTCATTTTTCAAAGCAGTTTTAAAATATTTCGTTATTCGTATTTTGTGATACTTCAGTAATGAATATAACTAATAAAAAAATTGGGGGGGGGGGGTTTAACCCCCAGGACACCCCCCCTAAATACGCCACTGGGCCGGAGTATAGGCAACCGCGGAATGAACTGTAGCCGTTGTCGTTGTTGTCGTTGTCGTCGTCGTCGGGCGTACCTCGACCAGACATGGTACACTGGTACAGGTACACCACGATCGCGGATATAGGGTGTAGGGCGGTAGACGAAGGATGTAATGTTGGTAGTTGGTGTAATAGTGGTACGATGAATCTTTCGGAGAAAAATTGGAAAAATCGTAGGAATTCCCGTCGGCGACTGGTGGGGGGGGGGGGTGTGTGCGCGAGTGTCCGTGTGACGTGCGAACGCGAGTGTGGATGGAAGTGGCACGGCCGCACGGGCCACGGGAGGTGGACACCGGAAAAGAAAATATAGCTAATGACTAATGATAAAATATTAATAATGTTATGCGCTACGACGATTTACATGAATATCGTGTTGTTATCGGGCCGTCGGTGCGACAGGACGTGCGATAGATAGATAGATTCCCCGGAGCTGCCTACAACAGGTACGGCGGAATAATAATACTCACACCTAGTGATGGGCACTGGCCACTGGGTAAATACCCGATGGGTAAGAAATTTATTTCGGGTAAATACCCATGATATAAATACCTTTCCGAAATCGGGTATTTATTTTTTTTTTATATCGCACCGGCGGCCGTCACACTGCTGAAGTTGGTGTACGTGTGCGTGTTTGGCGACTGCCGTGTGCTATAAATATTTTATTTATCAGTTATTATCAGTTATCATATATATCATATATAATATCATATATCATATATCATATATATATATATATATTATATTCATATATATATATATTATATATATATCATATATAATAATAACAGCTATTACATAATAATAACAATCCGCACCACAGATATAAAATACTAGATATACAGAGTAGCTATACTCTGGCCCACGAGAGAGTATTACCGTCGCCCGACGAAAACTCGTCCGATTCCGCGCATTCCCCACTACTCGGCATGTGCCGACAACTGTTCGGTACCGGTCGGCAGCGCTCAACGCTATACGGTGTATAGCGGTCGTGGAAATAGTGGGGGAAATGGGGCCTCGGAACGGTCTCCGCCGTCAGTCTGCATGCGCAAAACGGTAATACTCTCTCGTGGGCCGGAGTATAGTGAACGCAATCATATCCATCGAATCAAATAATAATCAAATTCATCTCGTTCGAACATTGATAAATGATGTTGAAAATCAAATAGAATTAATTTTTTCAAAATCAATGCTAAATCCTTTATTTTCTATAGCTGAAGAAATTAAAATTGTGGCTGATATTAAAAAAAGAAAACTATTTATATTAGGTACAGTTCATTTAGCTGCTGAATTACTAGATCCGAAAACTCAAGGCTGTAAACTAAATAGTAATGAAAGAATTGATGCTTTAGAATTCATTTATGAATTAGGAATTTCAATGGGAGTAAATATTATGGAAGACCTGTCAAATTATCAATCAAAAACTGACAAATTTGCAAAAAAATTTATTTGGGAAAATTCACTTTTATCTGAACCCTTAAAATGGTGGCAGTTTCTCAATCATATATCACCACTATCTAAAGTTGCTGTTAGAATTTTGTCTGCTCCTTGCACTTCAGCTGCTACGGAAAGAACATTTAGTACATTTTCTTGGATACACAATAAAAAGAGAAATAAATTAACTACTGAAAGAGCTTAAAAATTAACTTATCTGTCTTACGATTGGAAACTAAAAAATAAAATGTGTAGTATTTCTAAAAAAAATGAAGAAAGCTCTGAAAATTCTTCTAGTTAGTTTCTTCATTCTAGTTATAGAAGAGATACAAAGTTCATCTAATGATATTGCCCCAATGAACACAGAACAGTCTTCAAGCTCTCAAAGTGATTCAGATAGTGATCAAAGTATAATTTATGATGATACTAGTTGCGATGAAGAATTAATATCTTACTCAGATGAAGAAGATTAAAGAGTAAAGACTAAATAGTTGTAAACCAAGATAGTATTATGTATTATTTCAAATTTCCTAATTAAACCTTAAGAATATGCCTAAAATTTAGATTAAGAAATGAGTGAAATTTTTTATAAATTAGTAGATTAGGTATTTACCTATCTATTTGAATATTAATCAAAGCATTGCATTTTTTATTTTTACTTAAAGAATTTTGTTGATTTTGTTATGTTTTATTATTTTATAGTGTGATAAATTAAATACTGATAATGTACCTATGTTATAAAAATTATAATTTGTTTTTATTTTATTTCAAATATTTAAAGCTCTAACGCCTCTAACACTACATAAGTTTTTAGCCTGATTTTATCTTAATGTTTAATTACAAATTACAAGTACCTAACATTGTTTTAATTACATTATATTGGTAAAAGGTTTTACAATTTATTTAAAATTGAAGAAATAAAATAAAAAAAACGCAATTAAAAATAAATACCCAAAATACCGGGTATTTTTTTTAAATACCTTGGTTATTTACCCAAAATTTATTTACCGGGTATTTACCCATCACTACTCACACCAGCGTCGACGCGCACACACAATACACACGCACACATGCGCGGGCGCGCGCGCTGTGCAGATGATATCGGTTATCACGTGACAGGTGTTTTCGTGCGTACAGTGTGCCGGCGGCCGTGGCGTGTAAAAACGTTTGGCGGCGAGTAGGACGTATTTCCGGTCGTCGCCGTCGTATTATAATCGTATAATAATAATATCGTATAATGAGTAATGATCGTATAATATATTGTGATATTTGATCCCATTATACGATCGCAATCGCAATGGATTCATAATAATTTATATTATGCTGCTACAATAACGCATTATTATGCTGTATAGGCGATCGAAACTCAAATTATTCGACTTGACTCTTGAATGTCGACCGGCATTGCGAAGTAGACTTAAGAGAACTAACTATAAAAATCCACACACCTTTAGATCAGCTGGGGTCGGCAATTGTAGTTTCTAAGGGCGTCCGGACGATTCGAAAGAAAAATTTCGACGTCCCATAGGCGAGGCTTGATGAATTTGTGTATTAGGACTATAGCCTATTATTTTTCTGGTAAACAACATAATATATTCTAAAAATTTAACTAAAAAAATGTATGAAAGGGGGGGGGGGGGTCTAAAGCTAAACAAAATTCCAAGGGAACTATAGGCCCCTTTGACCACACACCATGTCATTTTAAGCGAGGTCCAGAAACCCTGTTTTTTTTTTTGCTTTTCGTAAGTTATTTTATGTCCACAAATGAATAATGAAAAAAAATCAGCGTTAAGAGGACGCTCCGGGGCCATTTGTTGTCTCCGTCTGACAAGTGCGTAACATGGAAAATTTACTCTTAGCAGATCACGTTTAACTCCGTTTAGCTTCAAAATAGAGTGAATCGACCTATTATGAGACTTGATGGTAAAGACATTATCTGTGTTTGTATGTGGGTTTTTTACGATTGTTCAATTTTTTGGCAAGTTATGCGTATATGATAAAGCGTAAATTAAAAATGCTCATAACTCATAAGTCACATAAAAACGGAATTAAACCCACAAACAAACACAGATAATATTCATGAATCTTACCATCAAGTTTCATTGTTTCATAATAGGTCGATTCACTCAAATTGTTAAGCTAATGGAGTTATCTGCTGATCAGTGGAGTTGTGAACGGTAATTTCAGAGGCAATTGTCTCTAAGATTTGTGGTAGCCGGTGGGTTCCCCAGTAAATTTTATATGATATACTCAATAGTTAGTCAATAATGATCTAAAATATAATTAGTTAATATATTATATTAATACATTACTATGCATTAATACTTGGGATATTAATTGTAGGACAATAATATGTTAGACTGTGATAGCTTTTTACTTTTTCAATAAGATGACCAATTTATAAACGAGAAATTTCACCATCCGAAAAAACGGCTTTCTAATGATTACATGATATTATCAAGTTAAGCTCTCCCTCATGTTTAGTTGCATTTATGGCGTTGATATTCTGATTATTGTTTGCCTGTATTCAAGTGTACGCTTTGTTTAATACAATATAAAACCCCCTTTCCCCTTTAAACTCGTCCAAATTTCCGTTCATACACAGTGGAAATTATTACTATTAATTATTGACAGTAATCTATTGCTATAATCCACATGAAATCAATAGCGGTGTTCCGAAATTTACATTATTATTATTATCCTCTCGTAGCAACTGCGTTCGACATGGCTTTCTGACGACGACGAAACGGATGTGCACGACTACAACCATTATAGGTACGCGCCCTACACAACAATATTATTTCATAGGCACATCGTTACAATATTTTATAGGCACACCTACGAGCGACCTACTGGCCGTGCCTGTCAATACGTTCAATATTGCATTAACGCGACTGAAAATTGTTTCATCTGAACGGCGTGTGACGAATATAAATGAAATTCGTACACCTATGATGCGGTTGTATGCCTAAGCAATATTATACATATTATACGCACAAAAGTCAACAAGTAGGTGAAATATTACATAATATGGGGAGTACCTTTGCTCATGAATTCCAGATTGTTATTACCTAAAGCGATTTGAGAGCTGTGACACGACTGTCGCCCTGGGCTCGCAAAAACGATTGAAATTCGTAAACGTAATTATAACGGAAAGGGATATTAAAAAAAAAAATTAAAAACCGCAAAACAAAACACTAACAAACGTACCTATAATTTATAGAATATCACAAACAAAAAATAACGCAAAACGAAGTATTTTAAAATCTATTTATTTAAAATGTCTATTGGTTTCGTAGAAACATTTATTTCATGCAATCAATCTAAGAATTGATTATATAATATTATATTACGTATCCGGGCCATTACCTACCCGCATCAGTTTATTTTTAAATTTAATAGGTATTAAAACTATTTTAAATAACGATAAACCCAAAACTTCTATAACGTTTTAGTTCTAAATAACGATAAACACAAAACTTGGAGAACGTTTTAATTGTAAATAACATAAATGGAATTTTTTTTTCAAATGCAATCCCTGCTGTCGCCATTATCAGTGGTGTAGTTGGAGTTTTGTCGGTGGGGGCGGGGGATGCATTTATTTATCTAGTGATCACTAACTACAAGATAGAAGGGTTATTACTTACTAACCAATAGTGTTAACATAATATTGACTATAACTTATTAGTATTTAAGTAATATTTAGTACCTATATAATTATGCTGAAATAATTGCAATAAAATCAGTGCCTACATAGCAGTATTACGTCTATCAGAGACCACAGTAATTTACAACAACAACCGTGAAAACGGAAATTTCCAAATTCGAAGTGTCCAAAACACGAATTAAGGGGACTTTACAGTGTCATTTGTTGTCTCCGTCTTACAAGCGCTTAACATATCAAATTTTAAGCTCAGCAGAACACATTTATCTCTGTAAGTTTAAAAATTAGAGTGAATTGAGATCTTATACAATTTAAAGGTATGACTATTATCTAGACAATGACATAGGCTTTTTATTATATTTTAACTTTAAAGCGAGTTATATGTATTTTAAAATTGTAAATTGTTTGTACAACTTAAAATACTCATGCCACTATAATTGCCTCTCCTTAAGATATACTAGTAAATAATTAAGATATCTTAATTCGTGGTCCAAACAGAACGTCCGAACAATAATCCGCTTTATTACTTCTTAGTTATTACGTATTATGGATTATATACCTACGCAAAGGTGGGCAAGTTAATGAAAATAATTAACTCAAGTTAAATTAAGTTAAGAGGACACAAGATCGATTAGTTAAAAGTTAGCAGTTAACAAATTATAAATTTAACTCTATAAGTTAAAAGTTCATATAGAAAAAATATTAACCCAACTCAGTTTAAAAAAAGTTAATTTATTTTAGATTCTGAGTGAAACGATAAATGTATTGATTTTACAATGATGTGTGTTTTTTTTAAATTTTTTTAAATTTTTGTGTCTGTCATCACGTTTTAGGACAGTAAAAGTGCTTGGATTTTCTTCAACAGTATCTTTTCTGATAGGAAAAGAATCTAGTTGGTACTTTGGGGGGTCAAAAGTAAAAATTTCCCAGTAGTTTTCACAAGCACCGGGAAAAACAACATTAAAATTAAGGAAAAACGGGAATTTTTACGCAAAATCGGTTTTCCAAAAAATCGATTTTGATTTTTGTTGTAACTCTAAAAGAAATGAACGTATATACATGAAATTTTCACCGGTTGTTTATATTTGTATTTTCTATACACGATAACATTTTCAAAATATTTTGATTTATTTTGAACTGTTTAGGGACATTTTCATTTTCCATCTTTTTTTAGTTTTTTTTCTAAAAATATCAATAAAATTTTATTTGTTGGTTGCGAAAAGTTGAAAATTAAATAGAAGGCTCCTAGTTTATTGTTTCGAAGGCAGATGAAAAATATTAAAAATCCTTGGTCACAATTTTTTTTCATAAGCATTTAAAGTTCAAAAATTGACAAAATATGGAAAAATCACGAAAATTAGCAAATTACTTTGAGTTAAGAATTCGTAAAAATTTTTCTTTTTAAATCCAAGATTTGAAAATGTAATACAATATTCCTTATAAGATTATCTACCTTTATCAAAAAAAAAAAATGTTTATAAGAAAGTCAAATTAAATTTTTATGAGCGTTAGAAATTCAAATTTTTACAACATTGGATATTCACTCGATTTCTCATGTATACGGTGCTGTGTTTTCCGCAGAAACACGTCAACTCTCGAGTGAGTTGTCTGTTTCATCACTCTCAAGATAAATAATAGTATGTCAGCCAATACTCCATAGTCGTCGGTACAAAATAGGTTTGGATATCTTTTGTACTTAAAACTAAAATGTCTAAGCGTTCAAGTTCTTCTTAATGGAAGCATTTTAAAAACGGAAGTTTATTATATCGCCACAAGGACACTTCTAATGCAATACGAAAATCTCAAAAG